GTCACTGCTCAGCTGTTGAAAAGTTATAGCCTCTCTTTTTGGGAAAGAAAAAAATCTTATGCTATATGCTCTAGTAAATACTATGTTCTGCTCTCATATTTGCAGAGCACTTATTTATTAAGAGTTTTCAGAAAATGGCCGTTAAATCCTTGTAGCAGTGTTCTTTATCTCATGGAGAGGGAAAAAGAGACACCTGTAATTTAAGATGACCTATGTGATCTTCCTCAGGTTAGCGGACAGAGCAGAAATGAGACCTTGCAAAGGTTCCTGCTATCCATCTCTCACCTTAATTTCCTGCACAGCTGGTGAAGATAAAAAAAGTAGAAAACACCCTCCCAAAGATGCTGTAAATATTTTTGTTAGGACATCTGTCTCCCTCTGGAGGTGCCAACTGCTTCTGTGCATGTGATGTTCTGCACCCATCCTCTAGAGGATCTGCTTTCTGGTAGTGCTCTAGGGTTTGATCCTTTGCTTAAGGTCTGGATTCATCCTGAATACTGGCATGCTTGGCCTATAGCTGTGGCCACGGTTCTCAAGCTCTTCAGCTGTTGTGGAAATGAACAGAATTACTGTCCATTGAGGGACACAGCTCTTAACCGAGATTCCTGTTGTATCATACATGCAACAGCCCGCAGGGAGTTGCTGAGTCACACAAAAAATTTGCCTGTGACAGTACAGAATACTGCAGGGAGCACATTAATGAAACACCACTTAGAATGAAAAGACTTGTCTTTGTTATCTTCCAGTGGCAGACTAGTGGGAGAATGTTAAAATACTGTATTAAGTTAGTTGTTATAGGGAAGGTAGAAGAATAATGCTTCAGAGTTATAGGTCCACTAAAATTGAAGTTTGAATAGTATACATTCAGAAATAATTTTATTTTCCAGTAATGACAATATGCAATATCATGTAAGAAATGAAATTGAAGAATTGATCTTATTCTTCAAATACAGGATAGCTCCAATATTAAAATTAACATATAAATTTAGCATCAATCTTATTTCTCCACTCATGTCCACTGAGTAAATTCACATAAAGAATGAATCACTGAAACAGTATACCGAAAGAATCAAAGTCATTTTTCAAAGATGTCAGCACAAATGTGAGGTGAGCCTGTTCACCAAGCATCCAACAAATGTTGCAGAGGTGGCCCTTCAGGCCCCTAAGGAGGGTAAGTCAGGGACCCCCAGCAGGAGCAACACAACCATGGGCAGAGGCAAGGCAGGGGGAATTTTGGTGCAGGACATCCTTATTTTATTGTGCTAAACCCGCACCTTGACTCTTCCCTTATCTGCTTTTATGTGAGCTGCTGGAGAACTGCTTTTATGTGAGCTGCAGCAGTGAGCAATGCATTAGGGCTTTCCACAGGATCCCTCTGAGGGAGAAATTATTGTTGTTATTGTTTACATTATCGTTGGCCTTATCCACCTTGTCATAGCTAGAGGTTAAGGAGCAGTGATTAAGCCCTGTGCCTCTGGGGCCGCAGCAGTGTACTCTCTGCAGAACGTGCTGCTCTGCTCCTTGTTGGGGCTGCACCGCTGCTGGTGACAAGGAGAGCAAGCTTCCTTTAGGTTTCTGTGCACCTGTGGAGAGCTGACGGGGAAATCACCTACCTGACAGGGGAAAAACCCCAGCCCTGGTGCTCTCCAGAGAGGCATCCAGGCAACTGCTCAATCTGAAGCAGGATCTGTGCAGAGGGCACGGAGTGACGTTCTCTTGCTCCAAGAAAGCCACAGCTGCCCTAGCAGCCGAGAGACAAAAGAAGAGGGAAGGGAAGGTGGGGTGGGGGGGAAAAAAAAAAAGGAAGGAAAAAAAGGACCCCTTGGTTTCTGGGCTTCAGCAGAGACCTTGCCAGACTCAAACCATCTTCTTGATGCTAAAATTCTTTTTTTCTGCTATAGATTTCTGAACATCAATGCCTCCAGCTTTATCCTTCTTCACCCACGCATCTCTCTTCCACAGCATTTGCTTCGCCAAGGAAATACCCTTTTTTACCACAAGATGGGGTTGGAAAACGCAGGGTTTGTGTGCCGTACCTGCAAGCCCTTACCCTGCTCCTCACCCGGGAGCCGTGGAAAAGATGCTGCAGGCTCAGGACGGAGCCCAGCTGCGGCGGCACAGCTGTCACCCACCCGGGTAAAAGCACGGCCTGGGCCAGAATAGGAGCTCCCAGCTCTGGGGTGGCCGCTGCAAGCCTGGATTGGTCAGGGCACCCAGGACTCCTGCAGAGAAGGGCTTGTCTCGCCCCTGGGTTACCCGCTCTGCCAGGGTGGGAGTGGGTGGGCGTCACGCCTCACTAGCCCAGTGAGGGTCTGCAGAGCAGGTCCCACCACTCTGTGGACAGAAAGAAGCCCTGACAACATGCTGAGTGGCTGCTAGAAGTCAAATATTCTATTTGCCTGTGATGCTAGACTGAAAAATAAGGCTGAGTGACTAAAGTAATTTCTCAAAGATACGAATGCAGGCCAACCCATATATTTTAACAGAATTAGTTTCCTGGATAGCCAAAATATTGTGTGATCAAGCAAAAACCACTGTTCAACATCAAAACTTGCAATTTTGATTTTGAACACATTTATTTTACTTTATTTAAAAAAAAAATAAAATTGTGAATTGAGTCAAAAGGTATAACACTGGACAGGGATTATTCTAACTTGTTTGCTTTTACAGAAACAGTTTATCAAAACCATACCACCAAATTTGCATTTTTCATCGCAAGTGTTTAGGGTGATCACAGTTCATTTCAGTTTATCCAAGGGTCACCTTTCTTTTAAAGATGTGCCCCAATTCCAAAATGCCAAAATTCTACTCTCTCAAAACCCACAGGCCACAGTGTGTAAGGTCACTATGAGCTGTTGCAGGTGCCACTGTTTGGTCTTTCTGCTGAATATAATTTGCCAACTGGAAAGAAAAAAAAAAAAAAAAAGACAAAAAAATCATTCAGTGTACAGGAATGTCCATACAAAGATTTCTGCTGGAAAGAAATCTGCTTGGTGCATGAGTTCAAAACCAGAGCTCACGAATCTATCTGGTCTTGTCTAGCCTTTCACACTTAATTTCTCCATGCTGTTGGAGTACAGCATTTCACTGCCTCATCCCGTTCTGTTTGCAAGATCAAACCTATTTTACCCATTACATTTCTCTGTGGAGTGATTGGAAGACTAATCTGTTTATAAGTGCTACATGACTGCAGGCAAATCTGTCAGTACAAAACTGTGATTCTGTGCTTATGAAAATTCCAAATGTTTTCGCATTTACACTTCCATCAGGGAAGCGATTTATTTTCCTTCCTCCTATTCCTGCCTTTGCTTCATAACATTGCTTTTCTGAACAGGTTGGAAAAAATATGCAAGAAAAAGTATATTTCTGTTCATTTATCCCCTAAGGAAAATAAAATCATTTTATTCTCCTTTTATTTTATTCTCCTTTTTGTGTGTATTCAGTGCCCTTATAACTGGGTGCACAAACTTTACAAAGTATGAAACGCCAAAAGAGGACAAAGGCATTCATATCAGCAATGACACCAGATAACATGCCTGATATATATTACAGTTTTAAAGCCCATCTGCTTTAGAGTACAACTTCAGGGCAGCCTCAATTGCTTTTGAGGTGTGGGACTAACCCATACACCTGACAGGCCTGACAGCCATTTCACCTGCATCCAGAGGTGAGTTTTGGAAAAGCCAACTGCCAAGCAGATGAGATCATTTGTGAATGGTTGAAAAAATGGCACTAAAACCTTAACCAAGTTCTAAGTGGACAATTAACTTAGTGACATTCCTCATCAGAAGCAATTCCTAATGTTACTCTGACACACATAAGATAGTGTAATCAATGCATGCAAACATGCAATAAATTTTTCAAACCATTACTTTTCTAGATTCAGGGAAGTTGCCATTTGGCTAAATATTATTTTAAAGAAATGCCTGCTATTATATCCTATTTCAGTTTTTCTACTTCTACAGTATAGGAAAAGAGACGCTTCTGAAGCATTGTGAGAGTCTTATTTTTACTGCGTGCTGTGACTGTAGCAAGCTCTGCTTTAGTCTGCTGAGCTTGGAAGCATCTGCAGTATATACTCAAGAGACCTTGGCTTCCCTGATGACAACATTTGCCTAATCTCAGCTGCAATCTGCAAGGCAGGGAAGCAGAACCCAGACTTGGAGAAAGAGATTTCCCTTGACTGCAGTTGCTGGAGCTGGCCATTTTAACCTCGAATGAGGACTAATCAGCTCTCTTCAGAAATGTTATTTGCCCAGTATAAATGACATAAACCAAGATCATCATCTTAGTTTATTTTTCTAGAGTCCTTAGCATGCTACATTAACCTGACAATGCTTGATCTGGTGCTCATTTCACAATACACTTCATGCAATTCACAGCTGTAATTGGTTTTACACTGACATTACACGTTTCGACCTAACCATGGGAAAAGAATAATTCGTAATATTATTTCTCTGAAAAGTGTCCAAGTCAAGCAGCACAGAAGCAGCTCATGCTAGTTCCATGTGCATAATTTTTCTTCTGCTTTTTCTTTCACTGCAAGGGTGATCAATGACATAAGATTGTAAAGTCCTTCTTTTAGTCCATTTGCAATTGAACTATGTTCATTTGATTTCCTATGTCCTGAGGAGTTCTCTCTTATAAAACAACATTCAAGTATTCTAGTTTAACATCCCCATATTTTCTGAGTTAAGGAACAAAGTAGACCTTGGGCTTCTGTTCCAATTATGAGTCTTCCAGAGTCCCATAATCGATGAACATGAAGTCTTCCTTTGTAACACACACTCAGCACTAAAGCCAGAGTATTGCTATTTGGCATTATCCAGTGAAGTGCAAGAAATTAAATAAGGTATGTCTTTATTGCTATAGTACAATACCAAGCAAAGTCACTTTTAATACAATTTCAAGGGTTTCATAGAGTACTTGTCCCTCCTCTTAGGGCCCAGTAGTTCAGCTGCACTGCAAGTATCACTTAGCCATCACGTTCACATGTCAGTCTAAGATGATGTGTTGAGTATTCTTGAGTCTGAAGAATCAGATCTTTCATCATACTCATCTTCTGTATAAATCGGTTGCTTAGACACAATAGGACACCCGTCATCAGGGATTGAGATTCTAGGATCTTCTGATGAGCGGGAAGGAAGGACAGGTGAGCTTCGGAAAACGCTGGCTGAGTTGCTAGAGAAAGGGCTGACGTACTGGGACCGTAGCTGGTACTGCTGCTGCAGCGTCATAGTGTTCCACAGGGTGACGTCATTGGGCAGGAACGGGCTGGACTGGTTTCTTGCCAAAGTGTTCCTCAGCATCAGCGGGTAGCGTGGTGGCTGAGGGAAAGGGTGCTGCAAAGGTACAGCCAGAGGATTTGGCACGACATTGCTGGAATCAGCAGAAAACCGCAGCGTGTCAGGAACTCTAAATGCTGAGCCCACAGACCACTTGGAAGAGGAAATAGGGTATGAGCTCAGTGTGTGTTCAAAAATGTGCCCACTGGAAGGCAAAACAAGCCCATCAGATTCAGAGGAAGTTCTTTCCCCACCAGCCACCGAAGACCGGCTGGACAGGAGAACCTCTACAGCACTCACCAGATCACCACCACATCCCTTCAGGATCAGCTCCAGCACAGTTGGCTTTTGGTTAGGGAAAATCTTTTTCAAGACTTCAAGTGGAGGTCTGTTGCCTTTCAAACTGAAAGGTAAAGAAACTGTCCCAGAAGGACCTTCTATCAGGAGGTGGTTCTGCTCTGGGTGGTACTTGGGGCTGTCTGGATGGCTCTCTGTGCTCCCACCATTTTTCTGAACTGCATAGCCGACCTCATCCACTGAAACAATTTCAGGGCTTTCAGGGGTGAAGCAGCTTTTGGTTTTAGTCATGTCTGGGGAACTCCTTTGGTCTGTGTCTTTGTCACTGTAGGTCTCAGTATTGTCTGTTCCACTGGCATCACCCAACTGCTCCTCACTCATGTCTGCAAAGAGAAGGCAGGGAAGTTAACCAAAAAAATGAGGCCAAAAGCTTTTACAGACATCCGATGACATAGTCTTCTTAAAGTGAACAGAGCAAGATCCTAGAGGGGAAAAAAGACCATTTTTCACAAATATCCTGTTAAATTTAAGATCTCCTTGCCACATCTCATGAGGACAAAATGGCAAAGTAATAACGTGACCTTGTCTAGGCATTTTATGCTGCTTTGTAGGTACCTGCCTCACTCTCCTGTGTACAAGAAAAGAAGAACTGGTCACTATTTTGCTGCATAAAATACACTATATCAATCCTTTCTCTCTGGTTACAAGGCAGCAACATACAGCTCAAGTGCAAGCTTTCTCAGAGGAACTTCAGCACTTTAACACCGTAACTCCTCAGTAGCACCATATTACTGATTGTGAGTTGAAGATATCCAGAGGGCACTTGGCCTCTACAAGTCCAAAAGCATTGGCAGAACCACTCAATCATGACTACTAACTGAAGGCTAAAGAAGTCTTCAAATAAACCAGTTATTGAGTTCTGGCTTAGCAGAAACCTCTTCATTCCCCAGGAAAAATCACAGGCTTTTCTGCCAAACCCTGTGTCCTGATTGGAGCTAAACAGAACCAATTTTGTTTAGTGATTTTTACTTTTCAACTCAGTCTCTTCTAAGAGGTTGCACTTTCTGAAGTTAACCATGTTTTTGCAGACAGTGTCTGCCACTAGGGATGATAACGCCTGACGATTAGTTACTGCCTAGAATTGGTATGCAGAAAGGCTCTTACTTATACTTGCTTCTATAGTGATCAAGGCCACAGCTAGACCTTGTGTGCCATGCTGGAGGTGTCGAGATATAAAAGGGATCACAAGGAAGAAAAAGGTTGCACCTCCAGTGAGGAACAGACAGGACAGGTGACCAACAAGAGTATTCCATTCCATACATGTCATATTCAGTGTAAAACTGAGGGATCATGGGGGCTAAGTCCTCTTCTTCAATGGCCAACATCCAAGAAGGACTCTGTCAGTTCTTCTGCCTTGATCCTGATTCTTAGTTCCCAAATCCAGCTCCTGTATCCAGCTCCCCCCTGCCCCTGAGCCTGGGGCTTTCCCAGTACCTTCCTGCTCTGCAGCATCAGTGGGGATTGCTATCAGGGAGGGCATTATGCATGTAACTTGTTATTATTGTTGTTTTATTTAAAGCTGGTTAGTTTTCTTTTCCAACCCATAGGTCTCTCTGCCTTATTCCATTTCCCTTCCTGTTTTGGAGAGGGAGAATAATTAGAGAGCGTCTGTCATGGTTTAGTGGCTGGCCCAGCCATAACCCTCAACACCACGGAGCACAGCTGATGTCTTTGCCCATTGGAGCACAAAATCTAGAAAATTCTGGTTTGAAGAGGACTTCTGAAGGCATCTGGTCCAATCTCCTGCTCAAAGCAGGAGAAACATAAAATATAAAGCAGGTTGTTTATGTCATGTTTTAAATAATTCCAAGGATGGCAACTCCACAACCTCTCTCAGCACTTTTTTCACCTACCTTGCTTTTTGTGAGCTAAATTAAGAAGAGCAAGACCTGAGCACAGGGCTGAAAACTTTTGGTCACTTTGGTAACACTAGTCCAGAGTATGGAAACTTTTGAAATAAGAGTGCTTGTCAGAAAGAAGATTGCAGCTTTCACAGTTCATGCACAAGGAAGGCAAGGTACTTGCTAAACATTCTTTACTGTTGTTTTCCAAGAATGCTGCTCTGCTGGCCTTCCTCATACAGCATAATGATGATCTTCCTGGGAAGCGTTGATGTCTGGGAAAGGGGTTGTTATCCAAGCTGCAGCTGAGCCTGCTTTAACTGCACTGTGCTTTTGAACACACATATGTGAAAGAGTATCTGCAGAAACCAATACGACCATTTGCTTATTTCCCCAAGGCCCTGCTGATAAAGAAGCTGTAAGAAGCAAGCAAAGGTTCTCAGAATGTGCTGATGATCAACTCTGCCGAACCGAGATGGAACAAGCTAAAGATGTGAAAGCTCCTGAGACTCGCTTCTTATCATGGACAGTCCTGCTTCCTTCTCACCCCAGAAACAGATAGGGCATGTCTGTCCCCACGCAGAGGGCAAAGTTTAGTGTTGAATACATCAGGCCAAGACAAAGTCTAATAGTGCAATTTACCTACCTTGAGAACGGAGTCAGAGTCTGAGCAAGCTTCTGCTGAGTGAGAAGCCACTATGCTTGAGAGAATGGGAACTATAAATAAATATGAGATCCTGGCAGAGCACAGCCTGACAGCTCGGCAATGGAAGGTTCTCCTCATGAGGATGGCTGTGCCAGGCAGAAATGGTGGGTTATTTTACAGAACTGTGGGATGTTTCTAGTTTGGAAGATGAGCATGGGAGTGGAGCTGAGGAATACAGATGTCCTTATGAATATGTCTTTCTCCTTTAGCAGGATAACCTGTTTTGTGTGCCCATTTTTACGTTGGTTATGCTTTCTGTCAGTGCAAATGGAGAAGCAATAACTCTTCATGCAAGTGTATTACAGAGAAGACAATGTATGCATGCTCTTCTCTATTCGCTCACTGCATCAGCCTTGCCTTAGCAGCCGAAGAGGAATATGGGAAACATTTGCCAGTAGCAAACTGTCAGAGTGTATCCTTTGGAGGAGGTGGTAAAACCTCCGCATAGCTCATCCGTTATTTCAAAAAAAAATTGTGAGGTTTCCTCCTAAACCCTTCATGTGTTCATAACCATTAGTTTATTACAAAAGACGGGATGTTAAGAATAATTCACATCTGTGTGAATGGACAATTTATATTAAAGTCTTACCAGGCAGTCTGAGGACAGCTAATTACCTCTTACCATGTCTTGACAGAGTTAAAGAGGCATTTAAGGAAGATGATGGTCTCAATTTCCACATAAATAGACCGCACTATGTATTGTACCCAATATTGTCAAATGGACCACAGGCAGGCAGAGCGTATTTCAAAGCTCATGGGCTTTTGCAGTCGGTCTTTATGGGCTGGTAACCGTTACAACTGGGGAGCAAATATAAGGGGAAGGGGAACAACAAAACCCCTACCAGTTTAGATCTCCCTAATCCTCTCCTTACCAATCACTATTTTCAGGATGTTTCGGGTTTGATTGGTTTTAAGTATCCATAAAGGCGTCCTTATGTGGCTTGTCTAAAAATTTTCCTCAAATTCTGAAAACTCACCCCGCTGAAGTTTGCGTCTTTACCACCAGAAGGCTGCACGGATCACAGCTCCTGGCCTTACGCAGGGACAGTATCCTCGAACAGCACGGCTGACAGCGCCGCATCTCACCGCACCATCCGCCTCACAGGGTCCGACCTGTGAAACGCGCCTTCGGCGAGTTGAATCAAAACGCTGCGATTGACTCAAGGAGGATCATCCTCCCAGGGTTCACATCGAGTCTGAGTCCTTTTTTTTTCCTCCTCTGTCTTTCTGAGCGCGTTCGTTTCCCGCAGCCCGTGCCAGGCTGTTTTTGCCGGGGTACCCCAGCCCGATGCTGGCCGCGGGTCGGAGAGCCTCTGCCTGCTCAGCGGGCAGGTTCCCGGCGCTGTCCTGCCTAGCAGGTGATGTTTTGACCAGGCTTTTTCCTCATCAGCCAGGCTTTTTCCAGCACCGCTTTCCCCGCACGCTGGGAACTGACCCCAGCTCTGCGTGGGAAGATCCGAGATCAGGGTGTTCGTTTGTGTAAAACGGGCACAAAGCAGCAATCGTTAAATAAACAAAGACTGGGGAAGGCGCATTCTAAATGTCCTTGCGCGGGCACTGAATTACAGGAATATTACGCGTATGTATTAATCCCAAATAATTATTTTTTGGTACAAAAAATATTATTTTTGTGTTCGGAATATACAATTCGCTGCTCTTAGCCAAAGGTATTTTTTGCATCACTCGTAAGCTTCACATGAGGATATTTTAGTCTTTAAGAAAGAAATCTCATCCTCAGATTTTTTTATGTTTGTGGGGTTTGGGAGTTGTGTTTAGGGATTTTTTTTCCCCACGCACCTTCTATTTCAAGTTGCCTGCATTCAAGAATTCTCTTTGCCAGGCCTTTGTAAACTAGGGTAATTGTGGGAGAAGCATCATGCAGCATGTAAAATTTACAGTAATAAAAAAAGCTGCTACGAATTCGGAGCAATGTAAACCTCGACATTTCCTTGCCTATTTATACATAAAGGATCATGAGTCAAATATTTTAAAGGGGTCAAATAAAAATAAAACGCAGGGAGAGAAGCTATTCTCCTCAAGTTAACAACTTGTCTGGAAAACTTGGTCTAATACTTTGGAAGCAAATTGGTTTCTCTGATATTCCCACCGCTGACTCTGTTAAAACAGCTCGCACTCCAACGGTTAGGACAGCTTTCTGCAACACGGAGCAGATTTTCTTGGATTCCAAAACATCTGCTATTTTCCCTTCTTCTATTATTAGAATGGACGGATATCAGAACTACCATAAAGCCTCATTAACCTAAGATCGTACAAAAACTCAAGGCAGGTTTGGGGGCAGTTTGGGGGGGTTTGGTTTTATCTTTATTTGGGAGGGGGTTGAGTGGTTAATGTAGAGGGGGTTTGTTTGTTTGTTTGTTTCGCTCTTTGGAGTTTTTTTGATTACTTCCACTCCAGTCTTTATCTTCTTTATCTAAGGCACTTTGTAGGAGACCAGTCATCGTTTCCCAAATAACACAGAAAGTGCTGTATTTCGTTAAGAAGCTCGCTCTGGATTACTAGAAACCTTAATATTGCGTTATATTCATTTTTTGCAAGCCTTGATAGCTATTACTTATACAGATATGTAACATGGGCTCACGTGGAAGACACAAGCTCATGAGCACAGTATCAGGAGGAGGAATAACTTCCGATTATCACAGGTGGAAGCAACAGGGGAGCATGTTATTTGCACAGGACAGAATTTTGGAACTCTCCTATCGAAGTAACAACATCTGGCAGGAATAAACATAGGCAGATATGGTTGTACCGTGCTGAAAAAAAAACAACAAAAACTAACCAACCAAACAAGCAAACCAACCAACCAAACACAAACCTTCCAGGAGATTAATGTCCTGGGGGCAGGTGTGCGTTAGAAATCGGGCCGACTGAGGAGGAAATAATTGCATCCTCTGTTTCGATGACGGTTTTAATACAGGTAACGGGGCGAGAGGGAAAAGAAAGAGTTGCCGTTCACAGCATGCAGGATGGTTGGAAATAAGGTTATCTAGTTAAACAGGGTCTGGTGGCAGGTGACAGGAGGACCTCTCCGAGGAGATAATTTTCCATTCTGCTCTCACCCATTCTAATGTTCAGAAACGCGGGGCTGGGGGGCAGGAGAGGAACAAAACAAAACAAACGAAACACTCTGTAACAATCGGAGACGGGGAAGCGTGCTGGTGAGCTCTGGGACAACTGGGGCTTCTTCCCAGTCCTCCCAGTTCCGGGGTGCCTCGGCCCCCCCAGCCTAGCCCTACAGCGGGCGGGAGCCGGCGCAGCACCGAAGGCCGTGATTTATTAAGACCTTCTCCGTTATTTTTTTTCCCCCTATAAAGCTGTTAGTAGAAAGTGCTGACTGGCTGGCAAGGAAGAATTTCTCATCAATACACTTTGATTGTATTTTGCAAACAAAATGCCTGTTGCTTGGTAACATTTCACTTGAGCCTGACCTTCCCCAAAAGTTATTGCTATCAGATTCGATTTACACTGTCCTCCCGTGATTACTGTAATCTTTTAAGCTGGGAAGTTCATATATCAGCGAGAGGAAAAGTTGGGCGTGCAAGTCAATACCGTTCCTATCTGCCAGATTTATACCCTGCTGGCGAACTTTATTTGTTTCACTTTCTCAAAGGAGCCGAGGCGGCTTTTCTTTTCCTTTTTATTTTTTTTTTATTTCCCTGGCCTCCTCCTCGCTCAACCGCCTCGCCTTAAGTCGCCTGCTCCAGAGGGCAAAGAGGCTTCTCACAGCCGAGAGGCTGAGGCCAGGCGGAAATTTGGGGTGCGGAGGGACCCCAAAGCCCAGGCGCTGGGGAACAGCCGGCGGAGCCGGGAGAGGATGCGGGGAACGGGGAGGGACAGAGTGCGGGCGGGAGGTGCCGAGGGCCGAGCAAGGGGAAGTCCGTCCCAGACCACCGGCAGACTTCGCCGCACAGACGG